CCCTTTGCCTTCCCCTTCCACACTCCTCTTCCAACGTGTCTTCTTCCCCTTCACCTTCTTCCCCTCCTCCGTCTCCTCTCCATCCCTTTCTCCGTTCCCTCCCTTCTCTCATCTCCTCCTCCCTCTCCCTTTCCCTTTCGCCTGTTCCCTCTCCATCTCCCTCTCCTCTCCCTCTCGCCATCCTCTCTCTCGGACCCTCCCTCTCCTCCTCCCTCTCCTCTCCCCTTCCTCTTCCTGTTAAGCAAATCTTTACCTATTCTAGATCGGAAATGCTGCTTAGACAAGGAAACGCTACGGACTTACTATCTGGCGACTCGCATTACACGATATAGCAATGAGACTCACTTCCACCGACTTGGCTGCTGACCCGCTCTGTCTCTGATCTCGTGGGATTTGCGAAACGTGGTGACCAGCGAGCTGGGGTGATGTACGAGCGTCACGAGAGGGGGGGCTGGCTGAAGCCGCGGCGCAGGCTGGAATAGTTCCGCCCCGCTCCCCCTTGGGGGCCCGCGCCCTTGGGCGCCAGGCGGGGGCCGGGGGGGGGGGGGGCGGCGCAAGCACGCGCCCACGCGGAGGAGCCCCACCGGAGAGAAAATAAAGGAAGACCGGCCAATTTTGTGAGTCGTAAAATATTAGAGTCGCTGTCAGTCGACTTTTTACGGTACTTAGGGCACGGGGGCGAGACTGCGAACCGCGAGAGCTGAGTGATATGGGGTCGCAGAACAGAGGAGAGGAGAGGGTAGAGAGGCATGCGGCCGCCCCGCCTAAACTCGGCCCTCCCCCTCCCCTCCGACGGTACTGCACAGGCCTCTTGCACGGGCTCAGGATGTTGATCGTTTAATGAAAGGTACAGCATGTCCTGTCGTTGATTTCCACAGACTTTGGCGTCTGCGATGCTTGAGGCGGCGCGCTGGTCCTGCGGTGTTGAGTGTGAGTGTGAGTGGTGGTGTGTGAGTGTGAGTGTGGAGTGATGAGTGTGAGTGTGAGTGTGGAGTGTGAGTGTGAGTGTGAGTCGTGTGGTGGTGTGTGTGTGTGGGGTGTGTTGGATGTGTGTTGTGTGTGTTGTGTGTGTGTGTGTGAGGTGTGAGTGTGTGTGTGTGTGTGTGTGTGTGTTGTGGTGTGTGCGCGTCCGCGTGTGTGTCTGTGTCTGTAGTTCTGCGTAGAGTGCATACTTCGGCGTGTCACTAGAGGTGCACAGCGAAGAGACTAGTGGGCGTAATGGAGGAGTCCTGAAAGCAGCGGTAGTGGGCACCGCAACGTCGCTAGGCCTTCGCCGGGTACCGTGTACTCGGAGTATGTCGTTGAGGAAGGGAGTCAAAGGAGAGGAGTACGGGGAGGTTCCTGAGATCCCTGATACAGACGCGATCAGCTGGGAAGAAGCAGCCCCCCAGAGGCTCCCGCCTAGAGCTAAGAATGTATGCTTGATCCGCTGCGGCCCGAGGGGTTGCCAGCGGCGCTCACGGGATTCACGATGGAGACATGGGCGCTCGCCAGGCGGGGCGGGCTCGAGACAGGAAAAGGGGATGGCTTTGAAGGGCGTTGCCGACCGGAGAGATAAGGACAGGCGGGGCCCTTTGTGTCGCCCTCTCTCTCTCTCTCTCTCTCATCTCTCGTCTCTTCTCTCTCTCTCTCAAATCGTCTCTCCTCCTCTCAGTCTCTCGTCACTCTCGCCTCAATGCTCATCATCGTCTCACGCGTCTTCTCTCTCATCTCCTTCTTTCTTTTGTCCTCTGTTCTTTCTCTTTCTCCTCTCTTCTAATTTCTTATCTTTTCTGCCTCCTCTAGGCTATTTCGTTTCTTTCTCGTCTTTTCTTTCTTGTCTCTGCCTTTCCTCTCTCTCCCGTCAGTGGGTCGGGGTCTCGTCGTCTTCGTCGCTCCTCTCGAGTCAGTCTCGTCGACAGGTCTCTCCTCTCCCGTAGCCTCTCCTGAAAATTGATCCTCTCTCGCCATCGTCTCTCTCGATCTCATCTCTCACCATCCTTCTCTCTCTCTCTCTCTCATTACTTTTCCTCTCGCCTCTTCCGTCATTTCTCTGCATCTCCCTCTTCCTCCATTTCTCTCTCTCTTACTTTTCCTCTTCCTCCATTTCTCACGATCTCCCTCTTCCTCTCCCTCTTTCTCTCTTATTTCCTCTTCTTCCCCTCTTTTCATGGCCCAAATCCCTCGCTCGATTTCTTTCTCTCGGTCTCATTCACTTTTATATTTTTCTTGCACTCTCCCCCTTTCCCTGACCCAAACTGAAAATTAAATCATACCCTGTTAATTTCCTTGTCTTTCACACCTTGCTGCCTCTCCTCTCCTCCTTCCTCTCCTCCTCCCCCTTTCTCTTTCCTTCCTTCGATTCCTTCTCCTCCACTGGGATTTTCCCCTTTTTCCTCCTTCTCCCTTTCCTTCGATCCCTCCTCCTCTCTTCTCCTCTTCATTTTCCTCCTCCTCTCCTCTTCTTCCTCCTCCTCCTCTTCACTTTCCTCCCCTCCTCTTCATTTTCTCCTCTCCTCTCCCTCCTCTCATTTCCTCCTCTCCTCCTTCTCCTCTCCCTCTTCTTTCCTCCTATCATGTGGTTCTCTTTCTCCTGTCCCTCCTCCTCCTCTTCTCTGCTGCTTTCTACGACTATTCTCCTTCTATTCTTCCTTCTTTTCCCCCCTTCTTCCTCTTCTTCTTCCTTCTCTTCCCCTTGTTGTCTTCCTCATCCATAATTATTTCCCCTCGTCTTTTATTTCCTCCCCTTCCGCCTCTCCATTATCATTATTATTTTTTCCTATTTTTTACTCTCTCTCCATTAGCTTGGTTGTCCTTCATGTTTTTCTTTGTTTTGTACTGTTTTTAATTATTATTATTATTATTTTAATTATTATTATTTATTATTATTTATTATTATTATTATTAATTATTATTATATTTTTATTATTTATTGTTATTGTTATTGTTGTTTATATTATCATTATTATTATTATTATTATTATTATTATTGTTGTTATTTTGTTGTTGTTATTTATATTATTATTTATTATTATTATTATTATTATTATTATTATTATTATTTTATTATTATTATTATTAATTATTATTATTATTATTATTATTATTATTATTATTCCTACCTGTCAGCGATACACGTTATATCCCTCCCCCTCCTCTTTCCGTTCCTCTTCTTCCATTTTTACTCTTTGTCTTCCTTTTCTCTCTTTCTCTCGTTGATATTTCTCACTTCGTTGCAATTACCACCGCCACATTCCTTGCAATATGCAAATGAAGCGGCGTAGCGAGGCGAGTGGCGGTGACCGAAGCCCTGTCGGCGAAAGAGGGAGATGGGGAGGGGGTGGATAAGGGGGAGGACGGGGAAGAAGGTGGTGGGAAAAACGGAGAAGGAGGAGCAGGAGGAGATGGGGACGGAGGAGGGAGGAAGAGGAGGTGGTGGAGAAAGTGGAGGAAGGAGGAAAGTGGAAGGAAGGAGGAAGGAGGAAAGAAGATGGAGGAGGAAAGAGGAGGAAAGTGGAGGAAAGAGGAAGGAAAGTGGAGGAAGAAGATGGAAGGAGGAGGAAAGAGGAAGGAGAGAGGAGGAGGAATAGGAACAGGAAGAAAAGAAGAAGACGAAGTTGGAAATATTCAGAAAAAATAAAACGAAAAGAAAACAGGCAGATGAAAGTGAAAGTATAGACGAGATAGAAGATAGCGATTCAGAGACAAGAGAAGAATGTAAAAGAAAAGAAGAAGCATAAGGGAGAAGAGACTGAAAACAAAAACACGAATTCTAAGAAATAGAAGAAAAGAGAAAACAAAGAGACGGAGATAAAGAAAGAGTAAAGGAATAGATAAACCAAGAAGATGAAAGGCGACGAGAGGAGAAAGGGGGAGTGCAGGAGAAAGGAAGGTTGGGGGGGGAAGGAAGAGGAGAAAGGAGGGAGGAGGGAGGGAGGGGATAGAGAAAGGAGGAGGAGAGAGGAGGGAGGGGATAGAGAATGGAGGAGGAGAGAGGAGGGAGGGGATAGGGAGGAGGGAGAGAGGAGAGGGGATAGAGAAAGAGGAGAGGAGGAGGAGGAGGGAGGGGGGATGGAAGGGAATAGAGAAAGGAAGAGAGGAGGAGGAGGAGGAGGAGGGAGGGAGGGAGGGGGAGACGAGGGAACAATACCTAGCTTGATGCATTACCATAAGATGAGACAACCACCTGCTGCTGCCGCTGTGTTGTGCGGCGCGAGCTCCCAGATATTGGTTGGGGCCGTTTTTCCCTTTTTAATATCACGCGGAAATGTGCACGCTCTTTTGTTGTTGGTGTTGCTGTTTTTCGTTATTTTGTCCTTTTTCGTCTGTTTGTTTTTTGGTGCTGTTCTTATTCTTTCATTCGCGTATTTTTCGATTTTCAGGTGAGAAAGAAAGGTTGAATATCATCAGTATTAAATGAGTTGTGGAGAACTTTTTTTGGGGGACTGACAGCTTTGGGGGGGGAAAAAAGTCGCTTTTCGTCACCGAATATGCGGAGAGTATTGATCAGCTGCCGTTAGTCTAAATTAAGACTCACTTGGTCTTTGTTGCAACCGATATTTTTTTACAGTCTTTGCAAGGATTATCGATTTGTGTTCACGCGAGTAACAAAGCCACATCCCCTTTTCTTCTCTTCGGCAGCTGGAAGAGTAAAGTTATCATCTTCTGATTAATGGTAACTCCCCTTCCTCCTCCTTTCTTCCTTCTTCTTTCCCTTCTCCTCCCTCCCTTTTCTCCTTCTTTCCTTTCCTCTTCCTTGCCTTCCTTTCCCTTCCAATTGGCTTACCTTCTTTCCTTCCTTTCCTCCTCCTCACTCTCTCTCTCTCTCTCTCTTTTTTCCTCTTTCCCTCTCCTCTCCTCTCACCTCTCCCTTTCTCTCTCCCTCTCCTCTCTTCTCCCTCCCTCTCCTCCCTCCCTCCCTCCTCTCCTCCCTCCTCTCCCCCCTTCTCCCCCCCCCTCCCCCGCAGGTGTGAGCATGAGCCCCGTTCCACTAACACGCCCCCCCCCCGTTCTCCCCGCAGGTGCAAGGCCCCCGGCAGATTCCTGGAGAACCTCCCCGAGACGTCGGTGATCGTCTGCTTCCACAACGAGGCGTGGTCGGTGCTCCTGAGGACTGTCCACTCCATCCTGGACCGGTCGCCGCCGCAGTTCCTCAAGGAGATCATCCTCGTCGACGACAACTCCGATATGCGTAAGTAGTCTCGGGGATGAAGGGGAAATTGTGGGCAAGGAGGAGGAGGAGGAGGATTAGGAGAAGAAAAAGGGTGAGGAGGAGGAAGGAGAAAAGGGGTAAGGAGGAGGAGGAGGAGAGAGGAAGGAGGAGGAGGAGGAGGAGGAGAGGAGAAGGTGAAAGGAGGAGGAGGAGGAGGAGGAGGGAGGAGGAGGAGGAGAAGGGAAGGAGAAGGAGAAGGAGAAGGAGAGGAGAAAAAGGTGAGGAGGAGAAGGAGTAAGAGAGGAGGAGAAGGAGGAATAAGAGAGAAAGGGTGAGGGAGAAGGAGGAATAGGAGAAAGGTTAAGGAGGAGGAGGAAGGAGGAGATTGAGGAGGAGAAGGAGGATTAGGAGAAAGGGGTTAAGGAGGAGGAGAAGGAGAAGGAGGAACGGGAGAAAAAGGAGAGGTAGAAGAAGGGTAGGGATAGGGATGGAGTAAAAGAAGGATGGAGAGGTGTGAATGAAAGAGAGGAATAGGGAAGGAAAGCGAGGGTGGATTAAGAGCAAGAATGGAAGAGCGAGAAGGAAAGGGAGGATAGTTGGTATTGGAAAGTAGGCAGGGGGAGGGGGGGGGAGGAGGAAAAGGGAGTGTAGGAGTGGATGTTGGAGTTCAAATGAAAGAGAGGGACTGAGGGCGGGTGCTGGAGAGGATGGAAAGGCAGAGTGGAAGTGGATGCGGGTGCTGAAGAGGAGACGGGCTGGAGATCGGAATTGGAGAGTTGGAATGGGGGAAGAAAGGGCGTGAGAGTGTGAACTGGAGAGGGAGAAGGGAAGGAAAGTAACAGCATTGGGAGGCGGACGTATGGGTTGGAACGACAGTGGAAGCAATAGTATAAGAATAAGGATGGAAATGGGAAGAGGGGCGGATGGGAAGAAGGGGGCGAGAGGGGGCGTGCGCGTGTGTGCTTTCAAACATAGTCAGCTGTTTCTCCCCACCAACCCGTCAGCCGAAGTCGGAGCCTCTCGCGCCGCCAAAACACACGAAATACGCGCCGCTCGCTTGCATTAGTATTCATCAGCGGCGAGTGCGAGACCCCGGTGCTTGTTGGGCGTGCTAATTGCGTCGCCATTTGCCTATCGCATCGCCAGAGTCTCCGAAGTTAGGCGGCGTTAGTTACGTGTTCTAGGTAACAACGGACTGAACGGCACTCTCTGTCTCTGTCTCTCTTCTCTGCTCTGCTCTGCTCTTCTCTTCTCTTCTCTTCTCTTCTCTTCTCTCTTTCTTCTCTTCTTCTCTTCTCTTCTCTTCTCTTCTCTTCCTCTCTTCTCTTCTCTTTCTCTTTTCTCTTTCTCTTCGCCTCTCTCTCTCTCTCTTCTCTCCTCTCCTCTCTCTTCTCTCTTCTCTTCTCTTCTTCCTTCCTCTTCTGCTTCTCTTCTCTTTCTCTTCTCTCCTCTCCTCTCCTCTCTCTCTCTCCTCTCCTCTCCTCCTCCTCTCCTCTCTCTCAGCTTCCTCTCCTCTCTCTCCTCTCCTCCCATCTCCTCTCCTCTCCTCTCCTCCACCCGGCCTCATCTTCTCTTCTTCTTCTCGTTCCTCTCTCTCTCGGCTGCACCTCCGTCCGGGCTCACTCGGGGGACGCGCGCCGTGGAAGGGCGTTTGTTGGCCAAGGTAGAGGGGCGGCTTGAGGAAATGGTATTGGATGGGCTTGCGATGGGCGGCGGAAACATCTCACCGGGAGGAACGGGGATGGCGGGTTTCGGCGGGGCGCATGTTGAGTGTATAAAACAAACCGGAGACATTTTAGAAGTAACCTCAGTACGTCCTACACACGCTCTATCTCTTTTCTCTCTCTCTCTGTAGTCTAACTATCTCTCTCTTTCTTGGTTCTCCTTCTCTCTCTCTCCTCTCGTCTCTTCTCTCTCTCTCTCTCTCCTCTCTCTCTCTCCTCTCTCTCTCTCTCATCTCTTCTCTCTCTCTCTCTCTCTCTCTTCTCTCTCTCTCATCTCTCGGTCTCCTTCTCTCTCTCTCAGCTCTCACGGGTCAGAGCCCGGGAGATCCCTTTCTCTCTCTCCTCATCTCAACGTCCGTGGTCTCGTGCCTACTTCTTTTCGTCGCGTTTCTCCCCTTCTCGGCGAGATCTCTGCTCTCTTCCTCTCTCGTCAGGCTTACTTCTCATGTCTAAGCGTCTCTCTCTCTCTTCTCAGGTCTCAATCCGCTTCTCATGATGCAAGAGGTCTCAGGCTCCTCTCGTTCTCTCTCGTCTGGCTTCTCTGGCCTCTCTTCTCTCTCTCAATTCCTCATACTTCTCTCAGATCTCTCTTCGCCTATCTCGTCAATCCCTCGTCTCTCTCAATCATCTCTCTATCACTCGCCTCTCTTCATCTCTAGTCTCTCTCTATCTCCTCTCAGCTCTCTCTCAGCTCTCATCTCGTACTCTTCTCTCTTCGTCTCTCTCTCTCCTCTCTCTCTCGGGCTCTTCTCTTCTCTCTCCTCACCAGTCGATATCCCCTCGGATCTCTTCCTCTCTCTCTCACTCCTCTTCTTCATGCTTCTCTCTCATCGTTTCGTGTCTTCTTTCATCTCCTCCTCTTTCTCTCTCTCTTCTCTCTCATTCTCTTCTCGTTCGGATCCTCTCTCCTCCACCGAGGTGTGCACGACACGGACAGTGTAAGAAGAGAGAGAGAGAGAGCGAAGAAGAGAGATGAGAGAGAACACAGGTATGACGTATGTGTAACGGGAAGATGATAGCAGTTGAGATAGAGTAATTATTGTATGGATAGGGTGAGGGGAAGAAATTGGTCGAGAGGCGAACTACACTGAAAACTGTTGTACCGCGAGTGTCAACATCGAATTCCACACAAGTAACACCACACACATAGGCAACACACACAATTACACCACACACAGAGCATAGACGGTATTTACTTTCACACACACACACACAGAAAAAAAAATCAGAGGGGTCGAGCCGAGAGAGAATAAGAGAAGTGTGATATTGATAGGTGGGAAGGGAGTGGCGGAGGAAAGGGGAAACGCGAAGGGTGGAGAGGGGAAACGGGGACAGCCGCGTTGTCACGGAGGAAACAAACAAAGCAGCCAGCGAAGCAAGGCACGGAGCATTGTTGTGGAGGGCCGGGTTCGAGGGGGAAGGAAAGCCGAAAGGGAACGAGAGATAGAATTGTGGGATTTCGATTTTAAATGGAGCCCGAGTTGCCCGTCTCCAAGAGGGGGGGAAATAGGCCGACATAATCATCTATTGTCAACCTATTCGGGTGAGATGCCACTTCAGGCATTTCCGTGATTATTCATGGAAGGCTTGACACGTCAGGGGAAGTTGCCTT